GGTAGCCGCCCTCTGTGCTGCCCGTTACCATACCTGTTATCACAGCCTTGAAAACATCGATGTTTCTTCATCTTGACGGACAGGGAAACCCTTTGAGGCAACACTGCAGAGCACAGTCACCAAAGAGCAGGAAGTGCTAAAAATGTTTCAGAATGCCACTGGTGCAGAAGTAGACACGAGATCTGAAATCTCATCTTGACCTTTAAATATAAAGAGCAAACCCCACGCACAGCAACATTTAAAATCCACTCTTCCAAGAAAAACAGCAGCATTAGCTGTTCAGCAAATTACATTGTCACATTTAGTGGTATGAGCAAACCCAAAAACAGACTGCAGGACGTTCATGGAGTCTTGTAGAGTCTTAATTAAAAAGTACTGTTGTACCCAAGGCCATTAAGTGCACGGTACATACAGGGCTCGGAGTTCTTAATGTAAAGTAAATGAACAACTCTCAAAAAAACAGCTAAAGTCAAAAAGGGAGTATCAACATGAACCACGACTCCAAAATCTCTAACCATAACAAGGACAGCATAAGTTAGACTAGGTTAGGTTAAGGGGGCATTTGATTGGAAAATGCTTATCATTGCAACACTGGGCGAGCAGTTACAAAAGAAAAAACATTGCTCCACATTGCTAGTTGTGGTCAAAAAGTTCATAGGGTACATTTACTGTAAGTACATATAAAATGATCAACAGTCAGTTTTAAGGTTCATATGAATATACTGTAGAAGAAGCTAATACTATCATAATAAGAGTTTGCATATTACAGTAAACGTTTTTAACAGTATATTACCCACCACTATGCAACTCTGGGGGGCATTCTGCTCTTCCAAATACAGTGTCATTGTCCTGCATTCACCTCATCTACTAGTCTTGTCTGGAGCTCAATGTTCCAAAGGCGAACAACTGTGTGTGCGTGTTTGTGTGTGGGTGTACACCAACGTATAATCCATCATAACGCAGACACCTGGTGCCTCTGTCATTACTCCTGCTGTGGTCCGGATAGTGTGTGTGTGTGTGTGTGTGTGTGCGCAAGCTCGCACGTCTGTTTGTTCTTCCCAGTGTGGGGGAGTCAGTTTCCATGGGACACCTGATTCAATTAGTGGATCATCATAAGGGAAGATGAAGAGAGTGGGAGGGAAGGAAGGAAGGAAGGAGGGAGGGAACAACTGTAGGAAGCAGGGAAGGAAAGAAGGAAGAAACAAGGCACAGAAGAGAGTAAAGGGACGGGAAAAATGTGCAGAGAGATGAGAGTAATAAAAGCATAATAAAAGCATGCAGGAAAAGGGTAGATAAAGGAAAAAGGATTCAAATGAAAACAGAGTTAGATGAGAGTGGAAAGATGGAACAGAAGAAAGAGTCAGTGTGTGACATTTTTATGGACAGCCACTCATTGAAATGGAAGTGTTGTGACAAACGTGTGTGTGTGTGTGGAGAATTTCATTTGAAAAGATCAGTCTGAGCTTAACCAGTGTCTACAGGCACACACACACACACACACACACACACACACTGAGGTATGCTACCATATAAGCAGAAGCCGAGAAGACAATCTGTTTTAATCATGAAGTACTGTAAGAAGTATGTGTGTGTAACTTCTCATGTACTGGCCTCTAGCTGTCTTAGCTGTGTTTGATGTTTATATTAAAATTATTAGTCACTTTTAGAAATATCCCCTCCAGACATTTTTACGACAAAGAATTTCTCTAAAATGTCATTTTCCACAAAATAGTTAAATCACATGGCAATTCTTAAAAGCTACATTTGCTCCTTTCCCCACACTGAAAAATCCAGAATCTGTAAATATTCAAAAGTTAAAGAAACATGTTTGAATTTGTCATTTTTCCCATAAATGTGGCCACTGTGACTGTAAAGGTTATATGATATTTCATTTACCACCTCTGTTGTACTAAAGTAAATGAGGACTTGGAGAAAAGTAACGTGTATATCAGGCAACGCGGTGTAAACCTCCAGCAGCTTTCCAAGTAAACAGCTGTCTCCAAGTGAAAGCAGACACTGACAGAAACCACCTGGAATTGTTACTCTGGTTAACTGTGTATATTTTCTTTATCTGCAAGACTTAAGATGTCTCCTCCAGTACCTAACCGCAAAGTCCATTCTCAGTGTGCATCACCTTTCTTATAAAATTTGGAAAAGTAATTAAGTATGAAACTGGTAAAACAGTCCAAAATGTTTTTTTTTTAATTGAGTCTTTAAATATTGTAAATACAGTACATGATTCAATAATTTAACAATAGGTATGGCCGACATGAAGCTTTTAAATGAATTCTAAATGGACTGCAAACTGCCCACAATATCTCTGTGTCTCTATTTGTCAGATAATTAGCTGAGCTGATCCTTCATCTCCCCCTGCTGGGAACTGTGTGTGCATTTATCTTCCAACCGTGCATGTAAAGTGGTTAACATTAGCTCCACCTAACGTTAGGTACAGTTTACTGATAACATGCCTGTACTTTTACCTTGTTAGGATTTTAAATGCAGGACTTTTACTTGTACTTTCCTCACACTGCTGTGGTCACTTCCTCTTTTTGCCTCCTCACCCTTCTTTTGCTTTTCTCTCTATAACAATGATACTCGGTTATCAAGATGGTGACGGCGAGGCTGGAAGAGAAAAATAAATTAAAAAAAGAAGGTAATGAAATGTCAGAGTAATAAATGTTAATAGAAGAAAACGCCCGAGAGGCCGAGAAAACACCTTTCATCTGTAAAGTGATCTGTGTCAAAATCATTTCAGCAGCGAGGAAAGTGGTTTGATGTGGACTGGAGGGAGCAGTGGATTGATTAAGTCTCCACACCAGTGACTAATGGGGGGGGGGGTTTCCATTATAGGACCATACTAAAACGTTCTCGTTAGTACTGGATGTTAAATGGTGTCTTATCTATCAATGCCAACACACTGGTGGTAGAATTTGTGCTAAGGTAGAGCAGACTACGTTAGCAGCATGGTGAACCAAAACACAACTGAAACTCTTGGGCTGGAAATGTGAATGAAGCTGCTCACGTTGAGTCGTCACAACATGGCCTACAGAACTCCTTCTGTTTCAATAGGGGAAATACAGCATACAACACTGTCAGTGAGGTTTGGGCAAATCATTACAGTGAATTTTGGGTCAATATCAGGCTTATTTCATTTACATAACACTATTGACATCCACTCTTGTGTTGAATGCTGTCTTACCCAAGTTAATTCTTACCTTAATACCCCTCTTATTGTGTTTATTGCACAGCTTTAATGCCAGTTCAAGCTTGCTTGATGCTTTGTATCACAGTACACCCATAATCTCATTACTGAATGGCCTCTGGGGTGTATTCAAATGGTGTTAAGCTTGATATCTTCAGCAGAGGGCAGAGGTTGAAGGAAATGGCTCTTAACTCCATGACGTCTTTATATAACACCATAAAACTGGTCTCATGTGAATAGAAGACTTTGAAAACCTAATTCAGCTGGCTGGAGGATTAGAAACCACTTTGTCTGTCTCTTTGTCTTCCTCCTTTTCTTTTCCTTTCTTCCTCTTTCAGATCATTTCTCTCCTTGTGCTTGTTCTGTCATTCATCTCCATCTTTCAGTCCCTGTTCCACCTATCTATCTGTGTCTCTCTGTGGATTTTTGCATGTAAAAAAAACAACAACACATTGTTGAATTATATTAAAGTCACCTTGCCCTCACATGCGTATTCTGTCACACACAGTATCTAGATTTCAGTGTCTCAAACAAACTGTTCTCTTTTTCATAAGCACTTGTAGAGATGTGAGGATTATAAATGTTCAGTGTGACCCTGATGAAGGGAAGATAAATTACCAAAAAAAAAAGCAACCATTATTTAATTATGTGCTCATTTCTTCACATCTATGTGACGTCAATCCCATAATATGGTTATCCTTCTTTATAGGGTAGGTCAGATAAACTTGGATGATGTTAGTCTGGGCTGATTTTCCTATTTCTGTGATGAATCTGATGTTATTTCTATGAACCACATCCATGAACCACATTAGAGAATCTTTTCATCAAATGTTGCACTAAAACTCTTGTGTTAGGAGCTCATTAACAAATCCATGATCCACTAAACACACAAGGAATTACCTTCCTTATCAGCCTACTGTGTTGTTTTATTGGCTGTAAAATGAATTAGTGCGGATTTAAACAAAAAAATATGTCTTATAATGTAGGAATAAATGCCGATGTTGAGTTACTGGTATCTCATCCTGTCAGACTAGTCAGATGAACTAAGCCTCCCACTCGCAGTGATTTGTCCTAACAAAATATATTGTTTTGTCACTAATCAGATCAGATATGTATGTAAAGCAGACAAACAACCCCTATGAACGTGGCAGCTCATCTTGTTGGGGCGGAAACATCCATCTGAATGGACTACTGCCTATGTAAATGAGGTTAAAAGGAGAGTAGCTCATCCTGTTGTTAGGGTTTCCTAACTAAACCCTAACCATGGTAGTAAAGAGTGCTGTTAATGTAAATGTAATGTAATTACAACATGTATTATTATTAAACAGCTCAGAGTTAAGAATTGCAACATAATGCTGAAATAGCATTTCATTAGGGCCACGCTATACAGATTTTATTCATATCACAACATTAATCATAGTTGATTTGACAGTATATATAGTATACATAACCTATTGCACAGCCCTGACATGAGACAGAGATGAAGCTTTGGTTTGAAGAGCAAAATTTATATACTCTCTTATATAAGAGTAAGAATGAATGTGTACACTATATTTGCTCAGGTCCTTGGCAGTTCTAGTTTTTAATGGGAATGCTTTCAACCACTTGGAAAAATTATCTGTTGCTGTCAAAATACAAATATAGCCATCAGATGTCTTTCGAAGTGGTCCTTCAAAAGATGCCTAATCTGTTTAATACATTTAATATAGCCCAATTTGTCAGTGGGTAAAATGTTGTATACCCTGATTTATAATTTCTAAAGTTTATCAGTAACTCACAAACTAAAATGTCCACTTACCTTAATATTTTCATCACTCACAAGAGGTTTTCAAACCTCTGGCACTGATCACATTCGCTGACCTAGAAAATGAAGAATCAAAATTCTAGATTTGTTGAGTGTAACCATCACGCATGCTAAGTAATTCACATAGCAGGGGTTTGCATTCCATTTATAAGATGTTCCCCATCTGTATCAGGAAAAAAGATAACTATGTTAGGTATTGTTTTGATGTATTCAAATTAATTTCCAATATTTTAAATGTTCTCTCTGACCAGAAACTCTGAACTTGGCGGCATATCGCGCTAACATCTTAACAAAAGCAAAAAGATTTCTTACTTGGTCATATGCCTCCTCCATGTTCACCTGCACTGGAATATGAGTATGATTGAAGTAATGGAGTAGAGATCACAGATAAACTGTATTGACAAAAACACTGATGGATCAGCACAATAAAGTAGGAGGGGGCGGCATATGGACTTGTTTCACCTTTCTTTTTTATTTCAAAAGTACTGTTCTGAACCAAAAGTCCAATGTTTTGATACAAGTCTTCATCAGGACCACTTTGTATACGGTACATTTCCAAACATTACAAGGCATCCTATAGAAAAACCACAGTAATCCAGTCATCATCTCGGTCACCCACTTTGCCCTGTTTACATATTATGGCACCATCTTGTGGCTAAAATACATCAATCCAGCCCAAAATACAGATGTTCTGTCACTAAATCAGGCCAGTGTAGTGCTGGTTTGGAGATGTATTCATCATACTGAGCGGTGAAAATAATGTTTATTCCCACTCGTGTCACTAAATTGATTTGTGAAGAAAATTGTGAGACGTCCCTGACTGAGTAAGAAGATGATAAATTACAACACAGACACCAGATGGCAACAAAAGACAACAAATCGCTGCCTCGTTGGCTTGGTTCTGCGTGTGTCACTCTGATCCAAACACAGTCTGCTGAAGAGTTTTAAACCTCAATATATAACTGGGGCAATTAATTCATCTTGGGTAATTGGGTTTTTATTTAGAAAAAAACTGGAAAGCTGGAAAGCTGGTTCAGACCATTAAAAAGGCCATGTGTGACAACAATTAATATACTATAATCTGAACAATATTTGAATCTGACAAAGAAATGAAAGTCAAAAATCTGGTAGTAGGGGTAAAAGTGTTTTAGACTTTTCTTTTTGTGGATTAGAAACTCAAATGGGTAAACCTACCAGAGAAACAGGAGGACACGAGATGAGGAGCTATAGGATCCTGAAGATCATCTTTTCCCTGTGAAAGACAGATCAGAGTTCAGTTCTCCCAAGTGTAAGAAGGAAAATATATAGTTTGTCTTTAGGTATTAAAATTATTATTATTGCCTACAGCTGACCAAAATAATTTTTGTTGTCAGTGCTGATGTCACAGCAATATAAAGTTTGCGTCTTTCCCAAAGAGGTCTAATAGATACAGTAGTAAAAAAAGTTCTCCAAGCTGCATTCATGTATTCGTCACAAGATGGCACCAGTGGCCCAGCTCCCCAGTCCACTGTAAGCTGGATGTGGATATCCAGTAGGTGCAGTGTTTGCCAAGCTGCTTTGGAGCTGCCTGAAGAGCATCGAGTTCACTCCAGCATCTTTGATGGTTACTCAGTAAAAACAGCTACAGCAGCTGTGTGGTTTAGTTGCTGTATGTGGATACTCACATTTGTAATAATCTTAATAGCTCAAAATGTGTCACAGCTCTGAAATCAGAAGCAAACTTACTAGACAGGGCATTTGAAGATAAAACAGTCTTTCCTTTGTTGGTAATCAGGGTTAGTCTGCAACAAAATGGCAGACAGATCTAGTAGTGGCAGGTAGGCTGCAGTCAGTAGAGAGGCAAAGCATCATCAGTACTAACCAGACTGATAAAGAGCAGAACTAGTGGGACTTGGTAATGAAATGGCGAATGGACCAAATGCTATCTCATTAGTATACAATATATAAGGGAATAAAATTTTCAGCACTGCAGACGTGGCTGTCAAAAGAAAGATGGCCCTGTTTGGTTTTCTTTATACACGATCCCTATTGTAAATTACTTTAACTCGTTTAGCCTTATTCAAGAGTGCTCATAAGTAGATGGAGTGTGTTGCTCATCCATTTATAAGGTATCAATATTTTAGCAGCTGCATCTTAGAAGCAGGCGCAGCAATACACTACATGCATACATTTATGTGGTGAATCATTACGTATTCTTTCACATACACTGCACCAGTATGTTTCCTTTGAGATGTATTTTCTTTAGGTGTCTGCTGATCTGAGGTCTGCTGGGGGCTCCAGTGGTACTGGTGCATGATTTTGGTTCTGTTTATTCATCCAGTACAGGCAGTTTGGATCTTTCTCCACTCCCTACTGGGTTCATGGCAACCTAACTCTAGACTTCTCATGACCTAGTGATGCTGATGAGATCAAAATATCTCGTGCTTAATTTCCAGTCAGCAAGTTCAAATGGGGAATTTTACGTTCCTCTGTATTTGCATCTACTTCTATTGTTTTTCCACTGAGAAAAGGTTTAGGATGGGTTTTTTCTACACTGACAGTGCCAGTGTTTACCGTGTTCATGCTTTCTTTTATAAAGTCTCGATTTCTTGGAGGAAAAATTTGTCATTTAGATTAATCAGCTAACTGATAAAATAGTTGACAGATGAATCAATAGAACACTAGCCATCAGTGACAGCCCTACTCTCTTGCTTTTGAACAAAGTAAGGCATCTTTGTACTTGGCAGTATGAGATGCTTCAAAGTATTGATTGTATTCAGAGTGAAATCCTAACTGGACATCAGGCAGATTTAAACCTCCTTTATCCTAGCAGAGTTTGTAACGCTGTTTGATTATCCAGCTAGACATTGATTTATTCACTTTACTACAGACATTTCCAGGCATTAGAACTGGCAATACTAAATATATTAAACAGCTTTTGAATGGCTATGATTTATGCATAAGCTGTATAAACCTCCCCCAGAGGAAGAGGTTGAATCCTTCCAACCTTTCAAACAGACTTTTCATTTTAGCAAGTATAGAGCCAGAATTTACTTTAAACACGGTCTGTCTAACAGGGGAAGACCTGAGGCCAAGGTAATGCCATGCTGTGGAAATGCAATATGAAAGACACCCTGACTGGGCACAGATATGGGATCAGACAGGAGGCTACAGTGGGTTCAAGCAAATTGCCTGAAATGTTTTCAGCTTCAGTTCTCTAGCTTAAGGTGCCTCACTTGAGTTGGCTGCTCTCTTATCAATGTTACACAACCTTTTTTAGCATAATGCTAGTGTTGAGTTTGCATTTCTGTTGTTCTGTAGCTGTATGTGTTACACTGATTTGCACTGCAGTCTGAAACATTTTATCTTTACAGAACCAGTGGTTTGCATCCATCTAATGTCTTATAGTCAGCATCTAATTTGTTCTAACATCTGTGCATCTGTTAACTCAGTGTGTCACATTTTATACATAAACTGTTCATAAGTGGGAAAAGACAAAAGGCTTACTTTTGATTCCAAGCACATGAATGGAGCAGGGAGAGCGTGCTCCAAAACAGGGGTTAAAGGTGTACAAAACAGTCAGAGGTGAGCAACAAATCCAAGGGAGCAAACAGCAAAATAAGAAGCAGAAATAACACAAAATAGTTACAAAACAAAACTGAACGCGCAGAATGCAAGGAATCTGGTAAACATGGAGGGCGAGATAACTGAAGCAAACGGAGATCATGAATGACACAGAGCACATCAGCAACAAATAAAAGACAACAGGCAGCATATGTACGAAGAGATGTAATCACACAATACATGACAGGGGTAGTGAAAGTGCCGGCGAGGAGAGAGCTAGCGCACTACAGACAAGTCCAGAAAAGAACAAAGCTGGGGGGAACACAGAGCAGAGACTGGGCCAGGGCTGGGATTGTGACACAGTGATTATGACAACAGAATATATCAATATTTAACACGCATATAGAAATAACACAACAAGGTGTCAGAATTCAGCAACCTTCCCTCAGGCTAATGGACCATCAAGGGCCAAGTCCCCTAGGGGTGCCAGTGAAGGGAAAACAATGGCGGCATCAAAACTTTGTAATAAATAGTAGAAAATGAAATATGGAAAATAAAGTTTCTCTGTTTTCTCTAGTTATAAATTTCCACAAAGTTTGCCACCTGTGATTGGTCAGACAGTTGACAGCTTGAACTCTAAATGTGAATAGACAGAATTTAAAATGTAATTTCTAATGACTGCCTAGGATTTCACAAAACCATGCAGAGTAAACACTGATTACTCATGCACCTGTCTTTATTTGCTACAGCATGCTATAGAGAGATAACACTGAGGTTGGACCCTTGTGGTAACGGAATAAATAAGCTCAGGGATGGTGGGGAGTCACAGACCGACTAATCATTGTCAGGGCTTTGCAGTGCCATTTTTACTTCTGGTCCTTTTGTAATTATCATGTTTGCTGATGTTTCCTGTGATGGGTTTGACACTTTGTAATTCACACTGAATGCAGCGCCTGCATGTTCGTGCATAGTGAATATGAGACATCCATCAACTAGCTAAGTTATGATACAGGCAGAAGATCCCTATGTTTTTTTTAAAGCATTATGGCATAAAACAAATATGATCTTTAAAAATGGACATGCACTTTATTGGCCAGTAGGCACCACAACCAGATCGATCAGGCCTATGTCTCGTACAGCAATTCGAATGGATACGTGTAACACGGTGATGTTGGGCTGGGACAGGATGCAGCTTTTTCAACACAGCTGAACATGAGCCAGCACTGTGTGATTGTGATGGATTCCGGTGATCTTTTCTTGTAAGCTTTCATTTTCTTAATTTTCCAAGATTCTGGTTTGATTGAAACAGATTAGGCCTGTTCTCTGTTCAAAATATGCAACTGTCAAATTATAATAAAACCAAGACACAGAGCAATAACAGTAAACAATAACACGACTGAGTCGGAGCAGAGAAGCAGTACATACAGTATGTGTGACAGCTGCTGGAGTGCAGGCATCACTGTACATAACTTTTAATACCCAGACTTTAGGTCGGTGTTGCCTTGATATCGTTTCACTTCTACCCTGGAG